GGCAGGTGGTGCTGTGATTGGGATTTGAACCAATGACTCTAGCACTGCCAGGCAGAAGTGCTAACCATTTAGCCACTGTGCTGCCCCCTCATAAACCTTGAACAAAAGCTTGGGATATTTTCATAAACTGATATAGACATAAATAAAGTCTTTTAAGTTCAGAAGATGTTTTATAAAGTGCTGTTATTCAAGAAAAACAGTGGCCACTTCATGTGCCTCAAACTCTGCAAAACTGTATCTTCAATCTGAAGAAAATTCTAACTTCACACTGTGGTTGTCTTCATAAATAACCAAATGTGCAAAAGTGCTCCAAAGTTCACCTTTAAGTGACCACTCTCAGCCTTATTGAGACAAAGTTGTTGATTTACTAAAACTGTAGAGTGCAAAATCTGGTGCAGCTCTGCATAGAAACCAATCAGCTTCTAGTTTTTTTTCGTCAAAGCCCAATTGAACAAGCTGAAGTTAGAATCTGATTGGCTACCATGTGGAGATGCTCCAGATTTTGCACTCTCCAATTTTAGCGAATCAAATCCAAAAACATCCTCTATGGTAGATCTTAATATTATGTACGAGGTCAAACAGCACGTTGATATTTAATCCTTAAAGTAGTCGATTGCCACGTTGTCCAGATTACTCTTAAAATTCCATCATCATCATGACATCTCATACATATAGACATACGCAAGATTTTAGTGCATTCCATTAAAAGCTTTTAATACTAAAACAAGGAAAATGCACACCAAAAATCATTGCACTAAAAACCATGCACTGACTAGTTCAGTGTTTGCTAGCAGTAAAGTAATTCAATTTCAGAACGGCTTATTTCTAGTTTCAGGTGCAATGATGTCACTCAACAGTCTCCACCCTGCATGTTACATTCATGTGTCTTCCTCTTCTCCTTCTTTATGTTTGTATTAAAAGCGTTTAAGAACTATGGTCTTGTCTTGTGTATGTTTGGCATATGAGATACCATGATGATAACAGAGTTTTAAGTGCTGTTTTAAGTTCAAAAGTGCTGTTTGACATTGTGCAGGTTAGAAGATCTACTATAGAGGGTAAGCTTGTGTCCAAGTAAGGGTGAAAGTGGTCCATGAAGCACATTTGGTTGCTATTGGATGCATCCACACTGTGAAGAGAAACTTTTTCCTCTTTTGAAAAGAGACCTTTTGTACAGTTTATGTGAAACAAATCAAGCATTTTTATTTTTTCCTTGAACTTCAGCACTCTTTCAAACATTTTCTTGCACTTCAATTACCTTAGAAATGTTTATATATTTATAATAATGCCACAAGTTTTTGTTAAAAAATGCATGAAGCTAGTTATATAGAGCTGGTACATATAGGATTGATTTATTAAAACTTTAGAGTGCAAAATCTGGTGCAGCTCTGCATAGAAACCAGTCAGCTTCCAGGTTTTACTGTCAAAGCTTAACTGAACAAGCTGAAGTTAGAAACTGATTGGCTACCATGCACAGATTTTGCACTCTCCAGTTTTAGTAAATCAACCCCATATAGTTTTTTTTTGTATATTTATTATTGTGGGTAGATTGATATGGGGTAGATGGGGGTAGGCAGATACATATACAGTGTACAGTGCTCAGCATAAATGAGTACACCCCAACAGATGTGTCAGAAAACCTTTACTTTCCTTTCAGAATCAACATTTTCTATGGGACACTATACTGCAAAATACTCCCACTAATGCAGGCCATTGATTGCAAACAAGATTTGGTAATTTGCACACACAAAAAAGTATTATTCCTAACAAGTTCTTTTAAGAACATGTTGCAAAAATGAATACACTCCAATGAAAGTCTTAGAAGCAAAGCAAAATGTTAGACAACAAAATCCTAATTAACAAGAATTCAACTACAGGTGAGTCTAATTATTCAATAAACAGGTGTCCAGCAGACATTTGATTATAAAAGGGCGTTACTTAACAAAGAAAACCCCTTCTCATTTCATGCTGTCAGCAATGGCACCACGTGGAAGAGAAATGTCACTAGGCCTGAGAAAGAAAATTATTTCTTTACACAGAAAAGGTGAAGGGTACAAGAAGATCAGCAAAGCTTTACTATTTAGTCAGAATACTGCAGCAAAAGTGATACAAAAATTTAACCACCTCACAGAGACGTCCAGGCCATCCACGGAAGTTAACACCTCAACAGGAGCATCTTCTGAAGAGAAGGATTGAAGAAAATCACTATGCAAGTTCACTGTAGTTAACTAAAGAAGTAGAAAGCCAAACTGGGGAGATTGTTTCCTGTGACACAATATGGTGTACATGGCAGAGGAATGGCATGCATTAGTGTCGTCCATGAAGGAAGCCTCTCCTAAAGCCCATGCACAAAAAAGCCTGCCTAGAATTTGCCAGGGCTCACGCTGAAAATGAAGATTACTGGGAATCTGTACCCTGGAGTGATGAGACCAAGATAAATGTGTTTTGAAATGATGGCTTCAAAACTGTATGGCATTGCAGAGGTGAGGAGTACAAAGAAAAATGAATAGTGCCTACAGTGAAACATGGTGGTGACAGTGTCCTTCTGTGAGGCTGCATGAGGGCTGCTGATGTCGTTGAGCTGCATTTCATTGATGGTATCATGAATTCACAGCTGTACTGTTCTATATTGAAAGAGAAAATGCTACCATCACTCTGTGCCTTTGGTCATTGTGCACTTTTCCAACTTGAAAATGATCCAAAACACATACCAAAACACTGTTGCATTTCTGAAGAACAGGGTGAAAGTGATTTGATGACCAAGTATGTCTCCAGATCTGAACCCAATCTATCACCTATGGGGAAATCTGAAGAGACAAGTTGAGCATCACTCTCCATCCAGCATCCAGGCTCTAACAAAGGTTGTTCTTAACCCCTTCATGCCAAATCGTCCCGGCGTGAAGAGGAGTTCCTGCGCCGGGAAGTGGGCGGGATGGGGCATGGCTTAGTGTCATGTGGCCACCATGACGTCACATCACAGCTGGTCACATGATCGGGAAAGGTCCCGATCGAAACAGCGGACCGAGACCTTTCTGTGAGTACCTCACGTGTGCTGGAGAGTGCGCAGGGCGCGCGCGCTCTCAGCGCATGTTTTTTGTTACATGAACGCAAATGTGTGGCCGCTCGGCGTCTAGGCCCAGATGCCGGGAGGCCGCACATTTGCGTGCGGCCGGTGTGAAGGGGTTAAAGAATGAAAAAGAAAGATGTTGCAATATGTAGCCAAGTTGTTCATTCCATGCCCAGAAGACTTGCTGCTGTCCTTACAAATCATGGAGGTCATACAAAATACTAAATGTAGTAGTTTTTGTTGTGGGGAATAATAATTTTTGCATCAACTAATTTGATTAAAACTGAAGATTTTGTTATCTACGTTATATTATTAACCTTACTTGTGTTCATTGATATATTGATTAAAATCTTACTTTTTAAAAGGTGTGTACTCATTTATGCTGAGCACTGTATCATATATTTTTTGTGTTGTAGGTAGACTAGATTTGTTTTTTTTTTAAATTTGTCTACTTTTCAACCTCAGGTGAAAAAAAGAAACAGGGAACCCTAGAACACTGTAACAAATAAAAGTCTATTATGCTAATAAAATAATAAAAAAGCATAATGATTAGTTAGGTGAGCAAGTTGTCAAGTTAATGGATACCTTCTTACTCTGGTAAATGTAGCTTGGGCAACTAGCATTTAATGACCCCTGGGCAGAAAAAAGGTTAACCCTCCTGCATTAAGCATATTTTGCAAACAAGGTAGTTTTACAGCTTTCAATGTAACTCCAGATCTTCCATAAACTTTGGCCTTCCATGAACATTTTTGTTAAATTTTACACCTAAATAGGAGAAGTCAAGCATATGTGTTGCGCTGATGGTCCCATATAGGAAGCACAGTGTACATATTTAATAATCAAATATGCCAGCCCAAAGCAGATACAGTTAAAAATGTTAAAACAGAAACAAAGTTTATACATTATTAACATATATTGACAACAGTATTTACATAAAGCTGTTCACATTCACATATATCTAAGCATCAAAAATATAATTTCCATGAACTAACTGGCTTTCCTTTGAAATATAGGTTTGAACTTTTACTATTTGTATTTGCAAAGATAACAATTGCATAAATGTATTTCCTTTTTTTAATGCTTTAATATTCTGATTATGACTAGGCAATTAATGGGTGTGGGGATAGCAAAAATATATTTCTTCTTCTGTAACACCTAAAGCTAGAAGCATATATTCACATTATAGAAAAAGCTGACTATTCTATCAAATGTTTTTGACAGACTTAACAAATGAGTTTCTTCCAGTCTGTAAACATAAATAATGTTTCACAGAAGACAAAAAGAACAAAGCTGTAGACAAAAGTTTATTTACACCATACAACATTTTAAATATTTTATACAGAGCTGCAGCAGAGAAAGCCACCATGAGCTTCCAAGATAAAACTGCAATAATAAAGATGTGAAATATATTATTCATATAAAAGTGAGATTATTACTTTATTGCATTTAAAGCAATGAAGAACGTAGCTCAACAAACATTCATTTAATGACAAAAATTTTGCTCTTTTTTATATTATAAAGTAAAAAGTGTAGTAATGGCCAAACAGACTGTTATAAATTTTAAAAACTGCATATATACATTGTGCTTCATGGTGAAGTTTTTTGAAAACTAAACCGAATGAAGCTGTTACAACATGAATTGTTGTTTGAGGTTGATCTATAAAGATTACCTTACAAATCCATTCCACGGGTACTTACAACACATGATGGTAAGATTTGTACACCTGGTTCTGCACTAGATTTGCTAGTGAGAGTAGACAAGAAATAAAATTAAAACAAAACAAAACAAAAAGAAAAATAAAACACTGACATTTGGCACATGAAGATCCTGACATGAAGTGGCCACAAAAGTCCGGACGCCAGGCTTCTAAAGTCTTTCACATGTGTCAGTGCAAATGACGTTTTGTCTTGTTTCAGTCTGTTTGTTGTGGTTATATTAAACCTCAGTTTGAAAGTCACCTTCCTGTACATCTAAAGGCAAATTTAGACATTTTTCCCATTCTGAAGGTCTAAGTTCTAAAGAATCTTTTGCTTCTGAATCTAATACATTGATTGTTGTAATAATGTTGATATTCATTTGGGTTTTTGAAACTGTCCCATGGGTTCTTGTTTACTGCTGGGTTTTCCTATGGACAGAAAGAAAAAAGGGTAAATTAGCACAAACCTAAAAACAGAAGTAATATAGAACAAAAACAAGCGATCAGTAGCTGCAATTCCCAAAAAAATAAAAACTTGTACAAAAAAAAAATAAGGAGGCTGGCATTGATGACCTCTAAAATCATAGCTCATTGGCTTTATTTGGCTTCACAATGTTCTGTATTACTGAGTTAGAACGAGTATGGTTTAAATGAAGTCAGAGCATATTTAGAACTCTTAATCTGGAAACATATTCCCAGACAGTGACTCCTATAATACTGAAGCTATTGGATCAGCAAGACAGCCAGAGTACTTTCATTTTTAGAAGAAGATGTCGGAAATGGCATCCTTTATATTCCTGTTCTGGTTTTTCTGTAAAGAATAAATTAATACAGTACTGATATTTAAGTAAAAGGTAGATGGGTTGAAGAAACCTTTGTATCTCTTGGGAATAAAGCAGGGAACTTTAACAAATGGCATTCCTAGATTTGTCTTAAAAGCAGCCATTGCGAATGTTTAGAAACAAGAAACCTGCTGTATTTGTTGAGATATATAAACTCACTGCCCACTTTGGTGTCCATTTATGACACACAGAATAGCTGAGATTCAGAGGATCACAGCTCTTCTCTGGTCATTCACAGTTTATGACACCCAGGAGAATATGTTCAGCCCTTCTCTGGAGATCTGTGTTCTCCCTCCAGATTCTCCAGCCCAGAGCTGGAGAATCGGAGGGACCGAAAACTAAGCAGAGATAATTTACCTCTGTTTAGTAAACTGATCTTTTACTGTAATCTCGCGAGATTATAGTAAAATCAGCCTTTTTCCAGCGTTTGTAGACCGTTCTCCCCTTCGTTTGGAGAACTGATCTACATATGCTTCATAAACTGCATTCACAGGAGAATTGTGTTCTCCGAGAATTCCGGAGAACTGAGCAGTGATCTATTACTGCTGGTTCATAAACGGACACCCTAATTAGGTACACCTGTTCAATTGTCTGGTAACACAAATTGCTAATCAGCCAATCACATGGCAGCAATTCAATGCAATTTAGGCATGCAGAAGTTCAAACTGAGCATCAGAATGCGGAAGAAAATGGATTTAAGTGACTTTGAACATGACATGGTTGTTGGTGCCAGACGGTCTGGTCTGAATATTTCAATAACTGCTGGCACATTTCATGCACAACCATCTCTAGGGTGTACAGAGAATGGACCAAAAAAGAAAAAATATCCAGTGAGCTGCAGTTGTGTGGAAGAAAATGCCTTGTTGATGACAGAGAAGAATGAGCAGACTGGTTGCTGCGACATTCAGATGGTAGGGTCAAAATCTGGTGTAAACAACATGAAAGCATGGATCCATCCTGCCTTGTATCAGCAGTTCAGGCTGGTGCTGGTGGTGTAATGGTGTGGAGGATATTTTCTTGGCACTAGCAAGGTGTACCTAATAAAGTGTAAAGAGAGTGTAATTAAGAAGCAGAATTATTATAATCCCCTTGGAAAATTTCAATAGGAGAAAAGAGATGGGAATGGACAAAGCTCTGCCAATTTCTTAACAAATATAAATAACTTGTGGGTGAGAATTAACCAGTGGGTATGTTTTAGTTTTGGGTCACTGACCCTGCAAAATACTGTATATCAGCCTTATTGATCACTTTGGATATAATTAGCCAGTTGGGAGTTGAGAATCTTCATTCAATAAACTGTGTAAATATTCACTTCAATTACCCAATTATGTGAAAAGCAAAGTCCTGTTTACTTATTTCATTTGCACATGATTACATATTCAAGATGAACAGGAATTTGCTTTTGGTTAATTGGATAGTTTAAGTTAATATTCAAACAATTTATTGAGTGAATATTCTTACCTCTTTTAGTAAATCAGCTTCAAATGTCCATTCATAGTTAGTGTACAATGCTCTAAAAAAATACAACACTGTAGAAATGTGTACAAAAATAACCCACAGAATGCTCTCCAGTTCTGTAGGCATTGGAAACTAAGCAATGAATCTATGCTAGTCTTTTTACATTATTCTCAAGCTACCATTTTACATTTTTATATAGCAATGCTGTTGTCCATTAGTGGTTAACTTAAGTACATACAGCTGCACAGCACAAGGGCTAGCAGTGTTTAGGAGTATAACAAGGCCAGAAGCCCCAGGGGGCCACTCTGCAAGTTCTGCATGTAGTAATATTTCAAGGATATAATTTTATTTCTTTTGTATTATGACTACAAAATCACCAAAATTAACCCTGCATGGGGTCTTTCTACATCATACTCAGTTTAGAGAATTGGACTTTGTCATAGGGGAATTTACATAAGTGAATTAAAATAATACAATAAATCAAACTTTTCCTAAAGGAAATATTGAGGCTACAATTGCAGATATACTTCAGAAAATGCTAGCCACCTGACTGTAATGCTATGGGCTTGCTTTATTGAAGTAGTCGAGGCTGCTCACTTTGTGCAGACAATGTTAGTGAATAAAAGGAAGGTGTGCTCACTTTGACTACCCAATCATGCACTAGCATAAATGTTTTTTGGGTTTTTTTTTTATTTCCCTTAAGTAAACCTTATTTATTAAGATTCATTTTTCTAGATAAACACATCTACCCTTTAATAAATCAATAAAACTTGCTTCAGTGCTTTTTTATTTTTTTACTTTCTCTGGCCTGGAACACGTATGCAGATGCAGGAAAGTCACCGTAACATTAGAAGTCCTTATCTTATTCTTGTTCTGACTCAGAGACTCAAAGTTTGGAAGCAAATGGGTCAAACTAACAGTCACGCAACTGGAAAATTCAGGAGAGTTTAGCAACAGCAGCCTGTGTATTCCTTTGCCTATCTTATCATTTTGTTTTTTAAATAATTAGGTCATTAAAGTAGGCATAGTGTCAACAACCTAGGATAGGAAGAACACATATTTGACCCTATATACTGAATAGAAATACACAAGAGTATGGAGAAAGTATTCGTATTTGGGTTTGCATGATGTTCACAGTCATTAAATGCATTCCCTCCACTAATTTATGGTCAATGCATATGTTGCAGGCCCCTATTTTAATTATGTATTGAGCAATGAAATAATGCTGGTTTATGAACCAAGTAATGTATGATAAAATTATGGTGTAAAAAATGTTTGTGACCATATAAACCAAATAAAGTTGTGTGACCAGTACCAATTTTGCTCACTAAGGTGTTTATCATTAACAAGTATTCTCAAGCACATTTTGAAATCATGTATGTGCAGTCTCCTGTCATGCATAGCAAACCACATTTATTAGTAAATTTGCTTTATGTGCAAAACTGGAACAGTTGATTAATTTTGTCAGTATAGGGAGTTGTTTATTCATTTGTACTCATTTATGGACTTTTTCATTCACAATTGTATTCACACTGATATACAGAAATGTATTTTATTTACAAAAATATATGTGTGCATTTATATATATATTTATATATTTATTAATGTATAACTGCCACAATATTTATAGATAAATACTTTTTATTTGGGTCTAGAATATTCACAGCGTCTGTGAATACAATTTCATGTTTTCTCTTATCGATACATGGCAACAGGGAGCACACGCTTGAAGAAAAGACAGGGAACAAAGTCCTATAACAATGAACTATTTTTCTGTGCAGTAATGTGTCAGCTTTAATTCCTCTGGCTGTACATGCAAATGTTTTATTTATTTATTGCTGTGACATTAACCCCTTCATGATGAAGGTAAAACAAATCCTAAAGCCTGAACACAGTTTTGCAACTTTGACATGTGTTAGTAAAATTGCACATATCATTACATCTACTTGGTGTATTCAGGTGAAGTATACGTTGCTTCTTCAGGACAAATTGGGATTTCATTTGGTGGTAAATAGTAATAGATATTGTCTGTTTTTTTTAAATACAGCCAAAAACTGGCCCATAATAGTAATATATATATATATATATATATATATATATATATATATATATATATATGTTTTACATTTCGCTGCATTTTCTGGCTGATACCATAACCTACCACATAAGAATGACAAAAGATAAATTCTCCTTCTAGAGATCAATACCCCATAGGTGTATTGTTGTTTGTACCCTTAGTAGGGCCCAGAAACAGTGGAGCACATTTTTTTTTTATCCTATGTAAAACACTGACACTGATACTAATTGAAAACTGACCTAGATTAAATCTTGATCTATATATTTTTTTTCTTTATGTCTTCATTTATTTATTTACTTTTTATGCACTCTTTTGTGACTGGGAATCGAGTTTTCCGATTCCCAATCTTTAGTACAGGATCTGGGGGTCTCTGTAAGAGTCCAGTCTCTGTGCTGGCCATGTGCTGTGCAGCGTACACCCAGCACAAAGATATACATGCACATATGCAGCCCCATAGAAAAAAAGACCCACTTCAGTAAGGCAGCATATATGTGTACATATGGCAGCAAGGGTTTAATGGCAAAATACTATTACAACCCAGTAATTTAATGTTTTGTTATTTTTAATTATTAATAAATTAACTTCAATATGATTTGTTTGAATATCATACTGTATTTTAATTATTTACATCTACTTCAAATGCTACTATCACTATTCCTAATATAAATGAGCAAACAATGAGAAGTATGCTTGGCAGTTTGCCTACTTTATTTGCTGGGATCACATCCATCCACTAAGTACCTTTTTCTCTTTCACCTTTTAATAATATCAGTTTTGAAACACTGACCTGATGGGTGGCATTAACATAGTAGAGAGTACTAACCATTTTGCTGTGAGGAAATCAACTCATATACCTAGTAAATAAATTTTGTATCCTTCTGCAGGGCATGCATTTAAATATTTTGCTAATGAAAAATTGGTATTTCCATTTTCAGTAGACTCCATAAAGCAAAATCACCTAAGGGTTTTTTATGTCAAGAGAATGTAGTAGTAACATCTCAACGCTTGAGTTCCCAGGTCTCCTCACACTTTGGAAATTATAGAGGGTCAAAAGTTCCCTGATGGATTTTTCATTGATTTATATTATGGAGAATGCAACAGAAAAAAATGGAACATACAACACACACAGTAGTACTAGGTGAATGTATTTTGCTTCTGATGCCCTCAAGAGATATTAGAAGTCAACAGAAGCCACACACCATCATTAAACTACTACTTTTAGACAACATAGCATATATGAACTGAGATCATTGGTGCTCCTAAGCATCTTAAGAGCTGCATCAGGCATTACAGAACTGAGCTTTAAATGTGTACATATTGTCATAATCTATTAAAGTAAAGAACATTTAGGCTTAGGTGAAATGAAATATGAAAAAAGAGTTAACCATTTGCCATAGCAGCAAGCAACAAGATCAGACTTTGTATGAGTATGTCTAGTCGATAATGAACATTTTGGATAATGGCACTCAAAAGTGTTGCAAAATGTTTTGGATTTTTAAAATTATATTTGAACTTACCGTGCATCCAGTATTTGGTATATCCCGGAATCTTTCCAGAGTTTGAAATTTCTGATTTAATTCCTGAAATAATTCCATGTGCCTCTTTCTGGTATGCATGACCTTCTGTGTAAAAAAAACCCCACAAAATTGTATTAGTACATGTGTTTTGTTAATGTGTCTGAAAATATATTTACATTTAAAGTGAACTTGTCCTAAATCTAGGCATATGAAACTGACTTAACCTCCCAACAGCACGCACTGATTGTTGTCTTTAAAGCTGTTGCTTGCATGCCAGACAGCCCCTAAACTTCAGACCCTACTGTGCATTATGCTTATCTTAAGCAGTATAGTGCTCGTTGGCATCCCACAATGTAATGCAAATATCTCATAATAAAATAAAATATTAAAATATCCAATATCTAAAACATTTAGACTACCACAGGAAAAAGAAGCAGTATAAGTCAATCAGGCTTTACTGCAGTATACAGTTCTAAGAAACTAGGAAATGGAATTTGTTGATCGAATTGGAGACAGAGATGATTTTAATAATGCTTCCTCACTATCTAAACACAGCCCTGACCAATCTGTATTTCTATGATTACAGGAAAGAAAAATAACCTAGATAGTGTATTAGACAGGGGATTCTGGATTAGAAAGCTAGCTGAGCATATATTTTTTTGGCAAGTAGGATAGCTCACACAGGCATATACCTAATATGTAAATTCGTATCTGTGTTAGGTGCTCCTCAGGTGCACGGAATGCTTTAAACAAAAGAAAAATATGACCTTTGCTGGATGCTCTTATAGGCTATGTAGGTTTCATATGCCTAGATTAATTTCAGGTTTGAATAAAGTTATAGAAAGAAAGAAACTAATAAATTGCACATACTCTTCACATGGATCAGGTGAATTTATCACATACATGTTATATTATCAATGTGTGCAAAATATTTATTAAAAGTTAATTTACAAAACAAAATATCACTCCATAAATACTGATCACTCCATAAAATGTTGTTAGCTTTAGTCTGGCAATAACTGTGAAAATCAGTGAGATGTTTGTTGAAGAAGACAGGACATTAGGCCATTTTGAGATGGAGGTAAATCAATGTTTCATGAGAAAAAAATGTTTTAAGAGATATAAAGGCTTGTAATAACTGACTATCTGATATGGAAAACTAGTGATTACACACTGATGTAATATTTATGCATGTGAACAAAAAGCTTTTGATGAGAACATGATTGTAAAAATAACAAACTTAAGACTTTCATTACCATGATACATAATGTATTATCCATCCTCCTATTCCTTTCACTGAGATGAATTGTGAAGGGGGGAGAGAATCCTGTGACTGATCAGACTCTCTCCCATTCACAAACCTTGTTACAAGCAGTGAAAGAACTTTTATGAATGGACAAGAATGTTCATATCATCTGTTCTCCCATTCTGCCTGAAGATCATGCTGGAAGTTCAGAGACAGGAAGAATGCAGGCATCCCTGCAGTGAGGATTTCTGCAGGATTCAGATGCCTACACAATGTGAGACATTTATCATTACAGACAAGTGATGTGACTAAAGCTGTAGATATTTTTTTTAACTAAACTTCAGCTAGTAAAACAAAAATAAACTTTGCTTCACCACACAAAATTTCATATTACTTTGATTGTGGTTTTTTAACATTTTCAATCAACATTGATTGAAGTTCAAGAAAGGAATATCATGAATAAAAATGTTGGGAAAGTCACCACCTGTTACACATTAGCACCTCATTTATATATGATATGCATTTCTACTATCACAATGATCTAATTTCTGGCTCTGTGCAAAAGGTATAAGTACTACATTTTAGTTAATCCCAGATGAGGTTTGGGATTAGGAGACTCTGAAGATGTACTCTTAGCTAAAGCAAAGACACTCTTAAAGTGAACCTGTGTCTGGATCATACACACTAAAGTATTTACATATTCTGAACAAACATTTCAAGGGTTTGTTCACAACAGGTTCAGTGCAGGAACACGTAAAAAACAAGCATTTTCCTGCACCTCTCCAAATCACACTGCTCTTTTGAAGCCAAGCGTGGGTGCAAATAATTCTTAGAAAATGCGCATGTTCATGCCTGCCAAAATGCATGGTACCGCAATATCATACATTTGGTGTGGTATGATTTTAAAAATCATGCTGGCACCTTTTTTTTACATGTTTCTCACACATAGGGAAGCCCACTAAAATGAATTTGCTGTTCTAAAATGCAACATGTGGTAATGAACAAAAAAGCACATATTCTCAGACACATGTCCTGGTGTGAAAAAGACTTTAAACAAGCCCTTGTCATCTCTGTATCTATGTGCATTGTGGGGGAACTTATTTTCAAAGTTTAGAACACAGGTATTGAAGTCTGAGAGTTCCTGTGGAGAACATATTTTAGTATTCTGCCAGCCTTCTAATCTAAACATACAGTAGATGTTTCTAAGCTGTTAGAAACACACTCAAATTGGACCTTTGAGTCTTTGTTGCGATCTTTGAGGATTTTTAAGAATTATTAAGTTGACATTAAAAGCAACCGGAAAGGTGAATGGGGCTTAATTTAAAAGTATTTTACTGACTATTAAGAAGACATAAGTAGTTAAAATGTCCCTATTCCTGGCATAGTTGCAATTTAATGCCAATTTTGTATCACCAATGTTTGGGAAACTAAAACGCTGTCCAAAGGACCCCTTCATAATGTACTATGTGCAAAGTTGGTATTTCAGTAGGCAATAAGGTTTCAATTACTTTTTTTTGTTGTTATTGTTGTAAAATAAAAATGACTTTAGAATGGGTAAGGAAATGAAACTCATGTGGCACTGAAGCATAATGCAATTAATGGTATTGATAGCACTATTTTAAACACCTTAATAAATTGTTAGAAATTTCAACCTGGAAATTGTGGTGAAAGATTATTTAGTTTTTCTATTTCACCCATTGATAAATATGTCTCCTAGTAGTTAGAAGAAGGGAGAAGAAACATTTAACATTAAGCAAATATTTGTGAGCAGGTACAGGATATATCTTTGGAGAGTAAAGAGCTTAGAAATGATACTCCTGTAAAACAGAAGTATTTAGGAGGCATTGCCTAAAACTAAAACTATAGTAGTACCCCAGGAATTTTATAGTTTCCTAAGACAATATATTGACTCATGTTTTTAAAAGAATATATAAAATTAAATGCATGTTTCTGTTAGTGTACATTGTTGTAAGTTTGATCCAAAAAAATCAAAATTTAGCAGACTTGACTTGGATTTGTTGCTCATATGTAAAACAGGTTTGTAGATTTTACATGTATGCTGAACATATTACCGTTGCAATTTTTGATGTTGTATTCTTCAGGAGCTAATTTCCGAATGACATGTCAAAGAAAAACTTCAAAAATTCCAAATTTAATTTCCTTTCTGGAATCCATTTAAACTGAACACTGTTCAGAGACTTGAAAGTGTTTTAGGAGTTTTGAAGATACATTTGTGACTTCTCACAAATACATTGCTTTGTGTAGAGACAATTCAAAAGAAAACATTCCTTATTATGCATTTAGTTTACCATTCAAATACAGCTACACAGAGTCACATTAAATATCATCATCAAAAACTTCACCATCAACAAAATAAATGATGAATATATATTTTAAGGGTTATTTAATAGGATTTTATTTTTATAGGGGATACAGTATTTTCAGGACAGACCCAATCCATTTATTGGCTATAGGTCTAATCTAATTTTTTTTTTTTTGCTCTGTTTTGTTAAAACATTCTCTGATTTACAGATGGAACCACTCGTCCTGACTATTTTGTCTCCAAGCTTACTTTACTCCCTCAGTATCTACCTCTCCATACATGCTCTTCAATTTTTCAAGTTGTTTCATTTTTCACATATTAGACTTTATTCTCACTCCTTTACACAATGATCAAAATCTTTATTTCTGTCATTAGACTGCAATTGTTGAATTTCATTGGACTGAAAATAACTGCCACGTTTTTGAAAAAAATAAATACTTAGGCTTGTGTCACATCTTGGTAAACTGAGCCTTTGTCTTACTATCTAATTCTTTAGACTTTCTGCTTGTCTATTTGAGAAATCTTTCAAAAGGCACATATGTATAGTATGTTAGTCCCTTTCACCATTATACACAATGTAGATCTCATATACTTTAAACAATCAATCAGGAAAGACTTGGAGTAGGATTGCACTGCCTACAGAGAAAAAACAATTTTTGTCTCTGCGGATAGTAGTTGCAGATGCCAGCAACGGTGGTGCAGTGCCCTAAATTTTCACAATGCATGACACTGTTTCCCCCCATTTTGTTTCAAAACTTTAATGGTGTACCACAAAGTGACGTTTCATTCATTTCTTACCCATCACCCATGAAAATACAGAGTTGCAAAAAACCCTATGGAGAGGTGTTTAAAAAAATGTAGCCCTGTTGTATTTTTCCACACCCCTCTGCAGTTGACAGCTGTGAGGAAATGCGAACATAGCACACAGAAATTCATTGTTATTCAGAATAACACAGCTCTCCAGTGAAGTGTGAACTGATCCTTAATGGATGAACTGCTCCAATTGCCTGTGTTCACATATCTACCCTTTGCATAGTTAAAACAACTCTTCAGCCCAGCCAAAGGACTGGTCATTAGAAGAAGAAAATAATCATAGACAAGTAACATGTTTGGGTGTGTAAAGTTTGGAGTACTGGACACCTAAAATGAAATCAGATATCATGGAATTATAACTGTCAAAAAAAGAAACAGATGGGTAAAAACCCACCAAGTGAACTCGGCATCCAAACAGAGCAGAACACCACAAGGTGATTGCTGTCTCAAGATGTTTTTTTTTTAAATTTACATATTACCTAAATAAGCTAATCATATGCTAACCATGCAGCACTATAATTTTTGTATGCTTCCTTGGTGGCCTCACGGTTGCTAATTAGTCAAAATCAGCAACTTAAAATGCAATATTTGTGGTGTTTTAAATATCCTAAATTAAATGATAAACTAAAATTTGTAAGTTGCTTGGGAAAGCATCAGTTTCAGGTTCAAAGCCCAGTGTTATGGACATTTGTAGACAACATTAGAAAGGCATTTAGGACATGC